GTACCTTAGGTAAGTACCTGTCTGACTCTGTCTGCTGCTTGTAGATGGTTGAACAGAATGAGAACAGGTTTGGCACAGAAAATTGAATTGGTGCCAATTGCCAAATGGGCTCGTTTGGGGTACCACTTCGTAACTAAGATAGCTTCCATTTTGCTTGATATTCAGGAGGTTCTTCCTTGGAACTTTGTCGAGTGTTTCATAACAGATTACCCAGCGAGCACAAACATCCCTGGGATGTTTTGGGATGTTTTGAAAATGTTGGCATGAAGATGTTATTTTGAGACGTAATATGCACTGACCAAAGAGGTCTTTGAAGGATATTGAAGTATTGTTTTTGTTCTTCTGTGGCATTTCTTTGTTTGCCTACTGAGAGGTATCCCTGGGATGTTTTGGGATGTTCTAGAAATGTAGGCATGAGGATGTTTTTTTGAGGCGTAATATGCACTTCCCAAAGAGGTCTTAGAAGGATATTGAAAGTATTGTTTTTGTTCTTTTGTGCCCTTTCTTTGTTTGCCCCACCACAACGTCTCATGCTTACGTCACAATACGATGAATTCTGATTTGTTTTCGATTTTGTTTTTCTTGTTCGCAATTGGCATTCGCGTTTGCAGCGTATCACGCTTACATCACGCTGCTAACGAACAGAAAGGAATTTGGTGAAGTTTATTGTGTTAGAAGACTTATTTAGTTTGTAATAATGACCATCAGATGCAAGATGTGTTGTTCGGTGCCTCAGTGTAATCAATATATAAAAGTACGAATTCATCAATACACAGCTTCTCCGCAGTTGCAAAATTATGCATTGTGGAGAACATTTCAAAAATTGGGAAACCTATTTCCAATTATATGTCTGTATGTAGTAATCACTACTCAGAAACCGATTAAGAAGGTAAATTTCATATCAAGAAAATATTTTTATGTTCAATCTATTTTTAATGCATTTTTTCATTTAAGGGAAATGGATTCCTAATGTAAAAGTTCATTTTGACAAAAGGCTTCAGAAAAGTACCTCGAAAATGGTTTTTTTACAGCGATTTAATGTGCGCAAGACGCGTTGAAAATGTTCTGTTGTGTCCATGAAAAGGCTTTAAAAAGAACTAGGGAGAAGGTAGTTTTGTGACATATCAAGGACATCTCGATAATTGCCGCCTGCGGCGGACATTGGCTGTTCTATAATAGTTCTATTCATGTGTGAACAGAACATCGCAGTGGAGGTTCAATGTCTCGAAATCTCGTACTTTTAACATCTCTGAGATGTTTTTGTGCTCGCTGGGTACTTTGAACCCAAGGGGTCATTATTAATGAGAAAAAATCCTTTCGTGCGCTCCAAGAGATAAAAAAAATTGTCTGAACTTGTTTATGGATGTACAGGACGTGGATAGGGTCTATCAGAGAGGAACTGTTTGACTTTCTTTCTAAATTGACAGTCATTCAGACTTGCTGACCTTATATCAACTAGATATCAACTGGGAAGTAGTTGTACATTTTCCCACCATTATAGTATATGGAATCTTTGATAAACTCTCTTGTGGGTAGAGGAAGTTTCAGAGTTGTAGTGAATTTTAACTTGTGTATATTTATCAGGCAAACAGATTCCAAAATAAAAAGTGCAATCGCTGTCAATATTTTATTATTTTAAAATGAAATTTTGGGCTGCACACTACCCAAAAAGGTATTCCATATCGTAATTGGGAATCTATTAGTGAATAATATACCATCTTGGCAGTAAAGAATGATAATTCCCTAGAAATCACTCTCACTGCATAACATCCAGAAGAAATCTTGCCAGTGAGTAGCTTGACGTGGTAACCAAATTTCAGATTCTTGTCGATGAACAATCCCAGAAATTTAGTATAATTTCTACTTTCAATAAAATTATTACCCAATGTGAGTTCATCAAGGGAGCATCTGAATGATATTATACTAGTTTTAGATAAATTGAACGACAGAATATTGACGTCACATTAATCTTCCACCTTTTTCAGATCAGATGATATCATTTGATGCAGATCTCGAGGATTCCTACTGTTCCATAATATAGAAGAATCATCTGCAAATAGAGTGAACTCTCCAGTTATATCAATTTTCGTGAGGTCGTTGATATACAATAAAAAAGTACTGGTCCCAACACAGATCCCTGTGGAACACCATAATCAATATTCCTCTTTTTGGATAGTTCTGTCGTTTTGGCCACTTGATTTCTTTCTGATGAATATGATTCGAACCATCTGTATGTCATTCCTCTCCATCCATATACTGATGATACTAAGAGCATCAGCGTATGTTTGGGTTCTGAACCCCATGCATGAGAACAGTATTCAAAAACAGGCCGTATTTGTGCTTTGCAGATCATGAGAAGTTATTGTCAAAGTAGATTTTCGCACGGAACAAGAATCCGAGTTTTTGTGAAACAGCCATGGCGATGAATCGGACATGATTTTCATTGATATACCCAGGCTGTAATTTCCAATTTTCAAAAATTTCAGAATGATACTTATATGGTTATTGACCATGGGTGTCTTGTCATTGAACTATTTTATTTTCACGAAAATGTACTAACCAAAAATATATCTATACCTATCTATACGTTTTAATCCTCTGATGCGACCGCACTGGAATTGATATTTCAAATATAGATACATCAAAAGCGAGTTATTTCAATTTTTAAGTCTCAATTGGCAAAAGACTCCAATTTTTCTCAATAATTTGCTTCACGCTGGAGATATCCAAAACAGTATTCCGATCAAAAAAATTGCCAAGAATAATATTTGAACTGTGCAAAAATTCAAACAAGTATTCATTAAAATAGCAGAAATGCGACACACTGTATAAATAAAAGCTATCCTTTTTTATCTATGAATGTGTTGTGATTTTTGTGTGTGGTACGTTTCTGATGAATTTTCACTTGTAATACCACTAGAGGTCAAATTATTTCCGGAAATTTTTTCGAGCCCATGGATATTTCGAAAATTATTTCGAGTCGAAGATATGGAATCACTATTTTAAGACGTCAACATATTATTCTGTCATTAAAACGTCATAAAAAATGTCCGATTCCATACCCACGAGAAAAAAAATTCCACTATATAAAGTACATACGTTGCTATGGTAATTTGTCATAAAAACCCTATTTAACAACTGTATAAAAATCACTGTTGTGGAATTTTCATACAAATTTTCTCCGCGTCAATATAAAAAAAATCACTCTTGAATTATCTGTACGATATTTTATAAACACCCGCATTGCGTATCATATCCAATAGATTGGATTGGCGACATCAAAGATAAATTGCTTCTGTATACGTACAAGAAGAATGCCTTTTTATACTGTATCATACCGTTAAATTTCTCTATGAAACGACATACTATTCTTCTACGGAAAAGCTATGGAGAAGAAATAGATGTCGATAATTAGTCTGCCTTTCTATTATTTATATATTGGGCAAACACGTCAAATTAGGTTGACACGATTTAAAGAACACGTTACATGATGTTTTGCGAGAAAATCAGTAATTTCCAGGTCTACTAAAAACAGAATGACTTTTTTGTGGTCAATTGGCGGGATAGGTTACACAGATCCGGGTCGGCAAATTATTCCCGGTATAAATCACGAATCCCACTGATTTTTTCATATAAATTGCTCTGCCTTTATCACACGCGACTCGGGAGAAATTGCTTTCCATATTTTTCATCGATCAGACGAATTGGAAGTAGAGTGGACTCGGACATTGTGGCTATACTAATGAAGAACGATAAAACTTCATTACTGTTTTTCCTTTAATACGTTTTGTTCGAGTTGGGACTCAGGGTTGACTTCAAATAATTGCACGATTTGTTTCTTCATGGAATAGAATCATCAAAATAATGGTCAGTTTGTGATAAAACCGAAGTTTTTTTCCTATACTTGACCTTGAGAATTTCGATGATTCTAACTATCCTGTTAACTGAAGCAGTGGCGTGCTCATTATCGATATTATCGATAATATCGATAAATCGATAATATCGATACATTATGGATATCGATAATCGATATTTCAAAATCATTATCGCCCACCCCTAGTTGCCACCTTACGAGTCTTCAAGAGACTTGTACCAGCAAGGAATGACGGGGGTCTTACCTTTTAACGTGTGATCAGAAATACTTTCTCAGGCCATAAGAAAAATTCCTGCGGTCGTGGTAGGAATCGAACCCACCTACCGGCAATCCAACGTGGATAGAACATTGACGCTTTAACCACGGGGCTACGCTGGCCACAATAGTAGTAAAAGTATCCTTTTTCGAGGCTGCTGTCCTCTTTACTATTTTTTTCATTTGGAAGGTCAATATGTGTCCTTTTTTCTAAGTCGGACCCGTTTATTGTCGAAATTTGATGATGAGATGATAAAGGAATATGGAAAGACTGAAAAATTATCAGGAAATAAGGAAATTGGATTCATCGCTCGTGAATCGATGTCATCCGATGTTTTCTGGTTCTTTTAATTTGAATTTTTGTGCTTTCTGCTCTGTCTATGGCTCTGTACCCTGTTCTGTTTGTGAAGAGATATTCTATATCAATCGTTGTAGACGAAGAAAAATGTATATCAATTTTTTCTATGGATGAATGTGTGTACCTGATTGGTACCTGTTCATTTGTTACTGAAATAAAAAAAAAATACGAGTAGGTGAGTATACCTACCAATTTTGCTAGTTTTTGACATTTTTTGACTCATGATATTGGTAAAAATGGGCAGTTGTTTCAAAGGTATGAGGAAATCCAATTTCCAGTTCGAAGACATTTGACCTTGAATAATGAAGAAAAATCACCTGCAGTGCATTTTCCGTTTAATATAATAATCAATAGTGAATTTACTCTTTATTATTTTCGAAATCTGGTCGCCCTACTGATGACCCCCTTCAGAAAAAATCCTGCGCACGCCACTGAACTAAAGGACTGACTTTTTAAAATAATATCGTCTTAGTACAAACAAATATTTATTCATAAATCAACTGATTATCAACAAATTTTGCCCGGGAAGATATGGGAAATCTCTCGGATTCAGATAGTGTCTGAAAAATTGAGATGACAATAAGTTCAATTCGAACGAAACAATCGATTGAGTATTAGTTCTAAACAGATTTTGATGAAAAGTTAAAGAATCATCAGTTTTGTAGAAATAGTGCCTACTTGATAGAAATGACACACGGTTTTGGTGTAGATGTCGGATTATTCAAGAAATCCGTTCGGATTACTAGATAACTATGATAGATATCATCCTGAAATATTGGCAACATTGGAGGTACTGATTTTTGCCCTGTATGTTGAAAACGAAAGCGTCTTATATCTAATTTTTTCAGATACCATCTGAACCCGATGATTTCATTTGATACATTGATCGAAAATCATAAAAAGAGTCTAATTATCCTTAGTAAAACATTCAACCTCGTTTGAAATATTGCTAGGAATGAATTAAGTGAGCTTCATGAATCCTAAAATGAAAAATGGCAGTAGAAGTATATTCACTCACATATTCAAGATAATTTTTAGCGAAAACTGCAACTTCAACGTTAGACGAAACATTCCAGCGTTTCCATTCGGTCAGGTGATTCTCTCTATGAACTATGATCTAAATTATACATTCTTCAAGCGAGAAATGTCCCAAAGCGACGAACAATTACCCAAAAACATCGACCGTCCATCATTCCACCTCATCCCTCCAATACTTCTTGACCATATCGGAAGCCTTCTCGCCTATCATGAATATCACAGCGTTCGTATGCCCGGCGACGATCGTGGGCATAATCGACCCATCCACCACCCTCAATCCGCCGATTCCATGCACCCTCAAGCGCTGGTCGACGACTGACTGTTCGTCAGCGCGTGGTCCCATCTTACACGTGCCCACGTGATGGCCGAGAGTGGTGGAAACGCTGCGAGCCGCGCACGCCCAGTACTCGTCGCCGCCTAGCAACAGGTGGTCGCAACCGGGAAAGGGGAGGTCGTTGGGCGTGGCCTGGTAGGTCTGGAAGGGGGTGGAGCGGGAGATGGCGATAGCCTGTGGAAAATAGAAGCAAATAGTAAGATAAGATGAGATGAATACAGGCTGATTCACGGTGGATGGAACATTAGAAGTATCTGGAGAACAGAAGGACAGATCATTTCGAAAATTTGTGGGCGTGAATAATCGAACTTGCTCTATCCGTCTAAAATATTTTCATCAATACAGGGTTGCCGCATGTATCAGAAAGTAGTAGCTACTTTGTTATTTCAAATGGAACATCCTGTATTTTATCGCATTTTTAGATTGTCTTTGAAGAGCTGATTTCATCGATGTATCACACTTAGGGTCTGGCGGAAATGATTACAGAGATATAGGGTGTGAAAAATCGAGATTTTTCAACTTTAGTAATTTTTTGTGTCGAAACTATTCATTATTGGTCAAAACGGCTTACATGTCCCTATCTTAACTTTTGATTTACCATCTACTGACATTTAATTTGGATAGATACAGGGTGATCAAAATTCTGAATTCTGCACCACCCTGTATTTGTTTCAATTAAATGTCATTAGATAGTGGATCGAAAGTTAAGATAGGGACATGTGAGCCGATTTGACCAATATTGAATAGTTTCGACACAAAAAATTTCTAAAGTTGAAAAATCTCGATTTTTCACACCCTATATCTCTGTAATCATTTCCGCTAGACCCCATGTGTGATACATCGATGGAATCAGCTCTTCAAAGACAATCTAAAAATGCGATAAAGCTCAGGATGTTCTATTTGAAATAACAAAGTAGCTACTACTTTCTGATACTTGCGGCAACACTGTATCGATGAAAATATTTTAGACGGATAGAGCAAGTTTGATTATCCACGCCCACAAATTTTCGACATGATCTGTCTTTCTGTTCTCCAGATACTTCTAATGTTCCATCCACCGTGAATCAGCCTGTATATACATGGTATAGGACATGTCAACAGTTGTGAATGATATATTTATATATGTATTTATGAATACATGTATAAATAGACAATAATACTTATAAATTAGTAATTGGTATGTAAACATATACAATTATACAATTGACAATCAAGAAGCAAAGTATAAACATATAAGTTGAGAAGAGAAATATAAACATAGGTGAAAATAGGTTAGTATATGCACAGGAATATGCTCGATTTCCAGAGGAAAAGCACATACATATCATACATTGTTTGAACAATTACAAGGGGCACGCACATTTAATAAAATGTAGAGAATATGATATGAGGACTATCAGAAACGAACAAAGAGATTTAAAAAAAGCACAGATTATACTGAAATACCTGTATGTCATTACTAGTTGTTTCAGTCATGTCAGAATCATCGAAATATTCTTGTAATGAATAGTAAGCTTTTGAAGTCAGAAATGAAATTCTGGTATGAGGAAGTTGATTACAAAAAACAATAATAAAATAATATAAGAGGTGACAACAACAAAATGCTAAATCGATCAAGTCATAAAAATAGCCACAGGGACTAATCAGTAGATGGAAAAGTATCAATTTTATCCATTTCGTAGGTAATGAAATCATGTGTTTTTATAATTCAATTTTGAATTTTGAAATATGTCTGCAATTTTTTATATCATGTGGTAATTTATTAAATTCAGCTAGAGCAGCGTGAGTAAATTTTTTTGGCCAATTATAGAAGTAGCAGAATCAAGATAAGTTCAATTGTCTCGTGTGATGACCATGAATTTCTGAGTTTCTTACCAAAACAAAATTGGATTTCAGATCATTGTTTATTATATGATATTATGAAACTTTGAGAGAATCTATTTTATATAATTCATCCAATGAAAATTGTTCTGTTATCGCATACAGATCATTTGTTGGGATATCAAATGAGAGGCGATACAATACTTTCAGTGCTTTCTTATAAAGTGCAGATATTTTACTGAAATAATTTTTTGAACAAGATCCCCAAACGTTTATCATATAGGTAATACGACTGAGTACATGAGAATGAAGTACTATGTTTATGACTTTTTTGTAAAGTTTAGGACATCTTCGCAAAGCTCTAATGATTGGAGATATTTTTTGTATCAGAACCTCTATATGCATGTCCCATTTCAATTTTTCATCAATCCACATACCAAGATACTTTATTTGTGTAGTTCTTTTCAATACTTTATTTTCAATTTGGAGATTTATTCTGTTTATTTTTTTGATGGAATATTATATATTCAGTTTCATTGGTGTTAATTGATGGAATATTTGAATAAAGTCATTTTTCAAATTTTTTCAAATCTTCGTTAATAATATTTTCTAGAATGATAGGGTTTTTGTTTTCGTATAAAAGTACCGTATCATCTGCATATATAGTATAATTACCTGACAATCCAATTTTAGAAATATTTTGAATATATAATAAATACAAGATGGGCCCTAGAACAGATCCCTGTGGAACACCTTCACTTATGTTGGAGATTTTTCAAATGTTGTTGTTCTGTGGGCAGTGGTTAGCCGTTTCTTGTATGGTATTTATGTAGCTCATATCTCAGTTGCATAATCGAAAAATATGATTTGGATATTTTTTTTGACGTTAGTTAGTAGTGATGAATATTAGGTAAATCATTAGGTATTTCGATATTTCTGTTGAACAAGATAATTGTGGTTTTTTGAGCATTCATTATTAGTTTATTGGAGTTGCAGTATGATGTCATTTCTTTATTCTTTTCGATAAGAATGATATGATTGAAGATAAGACATTCCCTCTGAAACCAAGATTGTACAATTCAGAGGCCATAAAATGTTTGTCAATAGAGTAAAACGCTTTCGGAAGCCTTGGGAATCAGATTTGTTGAAGTCGCACACAATGTATGTAAATACCATTTTGATTCCTTCGACCATGGTTGCCAGATCCTCTTCTTTCTCGTAATAATTCGGATTGATTATTGGATAGCTAAGGGGATTGGCATCTCTCAACCAAATCCTACCTCTGCTCTTCGGCCTGAGTAAGACAGTTGCGATGCCGAAAGATGGTTTGCCCAGATGAGGTAGGAAAACCTGTGTTGGATATGAACATGATTATTCTTTGCTGAGTATGAGCTCTCTATAGATTCATTGAAATGAGAATTTAATTCATTGGAGAGTTTTGAGTCAATTACCTGTCGGTATGTGCTGTCAGGAATGCCCAACAGATGGCGGAAGTTGCCGAAAATGTCTCCGTTAAGTGCGCCTGCGCCCAGAACTAGTTCCATATCAGGGTAGTCGTCATTTGTTTTGGAGGCGTATTTGGTTTTCACGAAAGCTAGAGCTTCTGCTCCACCTGGAATCGTATAAGGACCACTACCTAAAATAAATGAAATGAATACTCTCGACACCATTTTACACTGCATAAACGAGAGTTCAGTAAACACAAACTAGTTGATAAAACGTTGATTTACGGTTGGAATCGTGGAAATAACGTTAGCAGTTGAAAACTTCAACGTTGAAATTTGGTTTAAGATGACCAAGAAAAAAACACGTTATTTAGATGTTTTATTCTCAACAATTCATAACTTCCTGTTAATCTACAACCACTATTTAACGTTGAAATAAAACGTTGATACTTTCAAGCAACAACCCGTCATTCTATTTCAATAAAACGACACATTCACAATGTACGGTAGAATAGTTGCTAGAAATAACCTGTTTATAACGTCATAAAACTAATAGATTCAAACAACAATGTCTTGTTTATTTCAACGTTTCAAATTCACATATTTATAACTGTTGAGTTACTATTGATACGTCATTTGATCAATTCATATAAAAATGGCGTATGTTCGATTGACATTTATCACTTACTCTGGAAAAATTCGATCAACTCTGAAACAAGGTGTCCTATTGGAATTAACAAGAATGGCTTCACCTCCTGACAAAACCGAAAGTTTGACAATGATGAAAATCTTCAAGTTGGAATTCCCATTTTCCCTCTACTTTTTCTACAAATTTTCAGAATCATGAGTCTAAGAACCGTACCGTCATTCAAAAACGTGTATTTCACATGGTAAACTATTTTTCATTGTTTCGGCAGAGTTTTAACAGTAAACTAACGCTTTTTCGAAACGTTTATTGAACTGCTGAAATAAACGTTGATCAAACTTTTCATTGAGAGTATTTCATAACCGTTGAAAGCAAAAAAAACGTGAAATATATGTTCTCCAACAACGTTAGTTAGTCGTCATTAGATAACTTGTATTCAATCTGTTTACATCTCGCCGACGCTCACACCAAGAGTTTAGGTACAAATACGAGTAGTCGAACATATTATTCAAATAGGGATACGGAGAGATAGGCGCCTCACTAAGAAGAAAGTGGAACAGCTTAGGAAAGGGGGATACATGGACAACATAGCAGGTTAGTGAGGTATAATAATTATTATAGTAATTATGAGAATGTTGATAAAATGATTGTAGACACAAAAAAAAAACGAAAAAAAATAATCTGACGAAAACGTAAAAGAAACGTTCGAAAAACCGAAAATTCGTCGGTTAAAAATTGATCCGAAGTGAATGTTGAAATATATTTTTTTATCAACTTGTTAAAACGTTGATATGCCACGTTTATTCCCCGTGAAAAGTTTCGTTGAGAACCGGGCAGTTCCCACCGGTTTCAAACAGATATTTACGTTGAAATCAGTGGTTGAAAATACATTTTTGTACTGGTTGAAAATAACGTGGATGTCAGCGACATTTTCGCGTTGATTCAACGTGATGAAAAGATTCCATTGAACGTTATTTCAACCGACCGTTGTGGTAATTTTACTACGTTTTTTTGACGTGAGTGTGTTTACTGGATCTTCTTAAAAGTCATTTGACTTTAGAGCTTGAGGCAGTTAAAATTCACTGGAAAATTATTGTAAGCTACCCCTCTTAGATATTCACCTCTAGAAATGTAATTGTAGATGTCAATGGGATTTTGAACACTCCAATCAGAGACAGTGATGCTTTCATTGACAAAAAATGCCAGAGCAGACATAGCCATGTGATCCTGAAAATAAATATCAAAACTGCAGTGAGTTATAGAGAGTGAGTAGGTATTCATTAGTCAACATCGTAGTTATGCCGATTTAGTAAAACTGAACTACGCAACAGTAATTTCGTCGCATCCCAAAATTTTGTCCCTGTTAAAATATGAATAACTTTTTTCTGCTTTGAACAATTTGAATTCGGATTACACTGTTCGCTAGCCCAGTTTTTCAGCTACAATCTCGTACTTCTTTAAAACATGAGGTTTTTCACATAAAATCGCTACAGGGTGTTACCTGAAACTGTGCGAAATTTCGGAAATTTCAAAAGTATCCCAAATGAAGAAAAACTTTTTTTTTCAACTTTGACAGCAGAGGCATGAATACTATCTCATTACCAAGGAATATATTTCAAATTGTCTTCTTATCTCTTATATTCACAGACTGATCTCAAAAAATTAACTTGCTGGTTTTGCAGTCATTACTTTTTTCCTTGTCAACCCGTTTTTAAAATCTCATTTTGAAGCTGAAACTTCGGATGAAAAGATATGAAGATCAGAATTGACTCAAGATGATTATTATACAGTGTGTCTCACTTCTAATGGAAGCACCCCTGTATGTTTCATATTTGTAGAGTTAGGATTCTGAAACTCACATAAGCGGAAGATATACTGAAAATAAACACTATGACCAAGTGGAATCATCTCCAGTAGTGAACCCTGCTCATCCAATCCTTTGACTATATACAGGGTGTCCCATAAACATACCGACAAACTTCAAGGGATGGTAGAGGACATCAATATAAACATTTTTGCTAGATAAACATAACTCCGGAAACTCTTCGTTTTCGAGATACAAAAAATGATCATTATTAATAATTAATGATTGGTAAAAAGAGTTATTGGAAGGTTTATTAGTTTTTCAATATTTCAATAAACGCATTGGTAAAATGTAAGGTATAATTTTGAAGCATTTAATTTTTTTTTCATGGATGTAAGAGATATGGTTTTTTTTTCTTCAAAACGAAGATAGATACGGAAAAATTTCAGGGGACAAAAGAGTTGCATTTTTAGTTGTTCATTCAAAAAAAAATTATCATAATTACCAAAAATCTGCTGGTCGATATTTTTTTGTGCAAAAACTATCCGACATACCCGTGGGCACGCCTCTGAAATTATTGGGCAAATTCTAATAGCTCCAGAAGATACCTTATGAATGTATCAATGATCTGTGAAAATTTCATTGAATTCAACTAAATCGTTTTCACGATATTAATGAAAAATCGATTTTAAAAAAAAATTTACACCCTGTATCTCGAAAACGAAGAGTTTCCGGACTTATGTTTATCAAGCAGAAATGTTTATTTTGATGTCCTCTACCATCCCTTAAAGTTTGTCTATATGTTTATGGGACACCCTGTATATTATTCCTGGAAAATTTCCAGTTCAGAAAAATTTAATTTTGTCTCACTTCTCTTGGAAGCACCCCCGTATCTCACGTAATTATTGAGGTAGAGTTCTGAAATTTGCAGGAGGGAGCGAAAGGGAAGTGATTTTCAACCTATCTTGCTTCCTTATATCATTTTTGTGGGTCGTTCCATGGCTGTTGGCAAGCAGTGTATATCACTGGAGACAACTCCACTTGGTCATAGTGTGTATTTTCAATTTCAGAATTGTAACTCAACAATTACGAAAGATACAGGGGTGCTTCCATTAGAAGTGAGACCGAGAGTGAGACACACTGTATAATTTTCATCTTGAGTCAATTCTGATTTTCATATCTTTTAATCTGAAGTTTAAGCTTCAAAATGAGCCTGAGATTTCAAAAATCGGTTGACGAGGAAAGAAGTCATGACTGCACAACCAAAAAGTTAATTTTTTGAGATCACTCTGTGAATAAAAGAGATATGGAGACAATGGGCTTATATCTCAAAAAAATGTCATTTCATAATTCGATAGAACTGCTGTGAGCTCCCTACGTTTTATAAAAAATTATTGAAATCCCCGATTTTTCGGACCTCTGAAAACGAGGCGATGATGTGACGTCAAAACCCTAATACTGAAACAAGACTATTCCAGACAGAGATGAATGATACATGATTTCTGACAGAGTGAATTAGCGCGAGATCACAGTTGAAAGAAATAATATATCAGTTGCCTCAGTCTCCGTCGGGCGTTTGGTATTTTCTTTTAACTACGGCGAGATGAGGTTTCTACGTCATAAGAGGGTCCGTTTTCAGAAGGTACTATTATTTATGTCCAAAAATAAAACATTCCAGTTAATTTTTCGATCGAATTATGTCGTCAATCATTATTTATGTATAAAAGGATCATTATGAACATGGTTTGAGTTAAAAGTTCTACTAAGGTGTACACGCTCATTCGAGAACTGTCCCAAGATAATGAGATCACCTACATGCCTCTACTGTCAAAGTTGAATAAAAAAAGTTTTTCTTCATTTGGGATACTTTTGAAATTTCCGAAATTTCGCACAGTTTCAGGTAACACCCTGTAGCGATTTTATGTGAAGAACCTTATGTTTTGAAGAATACCGAGATTATAGCTGTGATCCGAATTCAAATCGTTCGAAGCAGAAAAAAGTTATTCAATAAGTTTCAACAGAGGCAAAATTTTGGGGTGCGGCAAAATTAGTGTTGCGTAGTTTAATCGGTTGAAATGACTTGACTAGTTAGTTACTGTAGTGAGTTATTACCTGAAAATTATAACCAACTTTCAAATCTTGTATCACAGGTATTCCCAACGTTTCCAAATGGTCTTTGGGGCCTATTCCTGATAACATCAAAATCTGAGGACTATTGATACTACCTGCACTCAAGATCACTTCTTTTTTTGCGTAGGCCACGTGCTTCTTTTTATTTTTTAGGAACTCCACACCGTAGGCTGTTTTCGTTTCTGAGTCGATCAGTATTTTCGTCACCATAGATTTGGTGGAAATGTGGAAATTCGGTCTGTGGAGAATAGGCTTTATGAAAGCTTTGGAGGCGCTGCATCTGGTTCCTCTTTTCATTGTGGCTTGAACTCTAGAGAAACCTTGATCAACAAAAGAAATGCACAATTTTTCATCATTCAATGATCTTAGGACTAATAATTGATTGTCGCACATCACAGTAGAAATAAAGAATCTTCCTCGAAACATCAACATGAATAGGACACATTACCTTATACAGAGTGTTTCAAAAAAACCTAACCCCCTTGCTAGGGTAGGTAGAACATTGCAAAATAAGTTGGGTTTGCTCAGTGAAAAAATGTCGTAACGGCATCCGTTTTAATGATACAAAGTGTTGAAAAAATTATTTTTTTACATATTTTTCACGATGATTCCGAAACTACTGGCAACATTGTAATGAAATTTTGTATGGATGTTTCTTGAAATCTGACACATCGCATTAATTTGTTTTTATATCTGACTCTCATAGAGGGCGATACTATGTTCCGTTTTCGGAATATTTCGATTTGAAAATAATGGAGTAGTAATGATGCTTGTATGAAATTAATTTTATTGAGTTCAATTACCTATTTATCCAGATTCAAAAACAATCAAATTATTCTTGTGCTGAAGTTATTGATGGAACAAAGAATCATAAGTAGAAAATTAAGAGATATTTGACTATAGAAACATGAAATATTGAATCAGTTAGAGTAAGTGTTCAAAATGTCCTACGTTTCGAGGAATACACAATTCTATATTACTGTTTTGAGAATGAATTATTCATCTGAACAGTTGAGGATCAGCTGTTAGGTCATTTAAGTGATGTTCAATTATGTCTCACGACTCTTGACGTGAATTTACCTATGTATGTAGCATAGACTTTCTGCTCAAGATACAACAAAACTGTGTAATCCATGTTCTTAGTCAAATCTGTTTCGATGTTATTCTTGTGATTCATTGTTAAATCAATGAGTTTTGCATCAGAAATGTATTGTTGTTTCCGGTTTTCAATAAATAGATGATAATTTTTCATAATACTCACTCTAATACATATAGCTTTATACCAACAACAGTTACCACTTCATCATTTTCAAATCGAAATATTCCGAAAACGGAACACAGTATCGAGTTTTACCAGGAGTACCTTTTTGGTGTGAAATTGAATGATGTTCAAGTTCACATCAAATTTGAATTGAAAAATCTAACCTCAAAAAAGTTATGTTCAAAACTACTCGGTACGAAACGTGTAACTAGCGCCCTCTATGAGAGTCAGATATAAAAACAAATGCATGCGATGTGTCAGACTCCAAGAAATATCATAACAATGTTGCCAGTAGTTCCAACATAATCATTAAAAATGTGTAAAAAAAATATTGTTTCAACACCTTGTGTCTTGAAAACGGATGGCGTTACGACATTTTTTTACTGAGCAAACCCAACGTATTTTGCAATGTTCTACCTACCCTAGCAAGGGGGTTAGGTTTTTTGAAACACCCTGTATTCAAGTAATTCAAACAGATTGAATACCTTCAATATAAGAAGTTGTTCGAATTATGAGAGGAATATTGATACAGACAAGAATGAGAAATGGAATGAGATGAAAAAATTCTGAAAAAAATAGTGTGTGAAACACGCTCGTTTTCTTTTCGAACTTGTAACGTAAATTATTTTTCTGGAGAATCTATACACATTTGTGTCTTTGAACTAGAGGATAAAAAGTTTATTTCCTCTACAAATTTCAAAATTACGAGTTTCTGGTTAAAAATCATCTAGATCAACCTGAAATTCCACGAGGATTCCGAATTTATACAAATTTATATCTTAATAAGGAAAAGACAACAGGCAATGGACCTGTTTCAGTAAAGAATTTCATATAATTATTTCGAAGTAATAACCATTTTTTTCCCAGAGCTCTATACATTTTTCAAATAATTATTGAAATTCACGATATTTTATTACATGAAAAAAATCGACATACGTATCTATTATCTATTTCTATGAGACAAGTGCAAGAATAATTCTGACTGTCATTTCAATAAGAATATAAAAAAAAATCGCCTCCTCAGAAGGTGCGCGCCCTAGACTCTAGTGAATTTTCTGAACTGGATACTTACTGCAGATAACAGAGAACTGAACAACACACAACTGAAGAATCAGATAATAAAAGGAATATCTTTGAATAATCGCATCTTGACTATAGTTGAAGAAGGTGAAGTTAGGAAATTAGCCTCAATAATGTAGTTCGTCTTCTTCTCTAATTGTATTTGTGGGGATTCTAGGCATTACGCTGTTGCCAGGGCTAGGATATCTTTATTGGTACTGCAAGTATGTAAGTATTCAATAATTGATTATTATGGACCACGTCGAGCTATTGTCTTTAGTGAATGTGAATACTGTTGTAATTATTGGTCATATTGAATCTCATAAGGTAATTAATAGTTACAAATCTAACTGCGTCGAAATATGTGGTACTACTTTTTATGAGAAAGCCATCAAAATTCAGATAACGATGAATCGAAGCTAGCGTTTTTTGAGGGTGCCGAATCTCATTATTGAAAAAAATATATTTGCGATGATTTTAAATAACGAATGATTGCATGAAATACTATTTATACACGGAATGATCAATATAAAATAGGTGTGTGACGTATATTTGACTAGTGTGTACAAACCAATTACAATCTTCTTTAGATGAGAAGATTAGGCAAGTGTTTTATTAATGAATGATAATCACTTTTCCGAAAATTACTTTAACAATGACATTGAATGTAGATGAGGTTGAGATTCATGAAAGGAAGCTCAAATAAACATCATCATTCATCATGTTTGATGCTGATAATTATCATTACATAATGATTATTACCTCGTATAGGTTAAGGTGATTATTTTTGTTATATCAATATAAAATAGTTCCTATCGTAGAATTCGATTTCTTTCGAGGTCAGAATGAAAGTGACATTCCAATAGTATAATACAGGGTGTAATTTAATCGATGGCTGAAAATAAAGGATATGGTTCCTCAGGTCATTTTGAAGAAAAAAGTTCATATGAACATATGCCCTAAACCTCTTAACTTTCAACCTATAGGGTGTTAAAATTTCGAGAAAAAAATCGTCACTTCAATACCGTTCTAGATATTTTCATGAAATTTGACATGCACCTATACTAAGCACCAATAGGCATTTTTCGATGCAGAAGATTTTCTAATATCTCTACCAGTGGCGTACGTAAGGGATGTATAATGGAGATTCTTGGAAAAATATATTGTACGCCTTCGATTTTTTCCGTCCGACGATGTGTTTTTGCGTAGAAAAATAAAAACAATTCTCAAGCATTTGTGGCATAACGAAATTATTTTGAACTAAATAGTAGCCTAATGCCCTATTTTGTATTTGAACTAATGACATTTGATCGATCACGTTGCGGTCTTATTTTGTCAAGTACTTATTCATAAACGTGGCAGTTTTTTACATCATCGTGGAAAATTGTTTCAATAAAGAGAAATGAGAAATATAGTCGACGGAAAAATTTTGTAACCAACTTGTATATTAAAAGGCGATTAATGATCTGGAACATTAACGCACTCGCTTCGCTCGCACGTTAAAATATCTCGATCAATTATCGCCCTCATTAATACACTAGTTGGTTAAATAACTATTACCTACCCAATTCGTATTTGCCATTTGGATCATTGTTCTTGTATCCCATTTCCTGGCCTGCTTTGACAAACAACTTGACCAAAGGGCTTTCGTAGTGTGGATGTTCCACATTGAGGTACCCTTCGGTACCATGATATGCCTCGTCTATCTCCTCGCAAGTGGAACAGTTCTCAGATTTCAGAAAATACGGTAGTACCTCTTCGTAACTCCAACCGTGGTTGCCTTGTTCAGACCACATGTCATAGTCTTTCCTAAAAAAAGAGGTAAATAATATGATTCAGGCATGCTTCTCAAATAATCTACTGCTTTTTTCATACAAGCGCGCGTTTTTTTTATCGCTTGGAGCGCACGAAAGGGAATCCCTATAATGTTCAAAGAACATCGTGCGTTCCTAGGGAGGATAGGGACAGGAGGTAGGTATTGGAATTTTTTTTTGAACTTTTGGAGATTATATGTTGTTGGGAATACTTCCACAGGCAATGAATTCCAGAGCCTAGCCGTTCTATGGATGAAGGAGTTTTGATAAAGTGCCGTTCGACATCTTTCGAGGTTGACAACGAAAGGATGTGCTGACTGGGCTTGTCTAGTTCGTCTGATTGGTATTGCTAATGAAGGGATGATAGCAGAGATTTCCGAAGAACATTTCCCGTGTAAGTATCGATAGAAGAGTGAAAGGTCGCCGACCTTTCTACGGTGTTCCAATGATGTCAAAGAGTGAGTGAGTGTGGCGTCACCCACCAGGCGAATGGCTCTTCTCTGGATGGAATCTAAGAGCATCAGCGTATCTTTTGGTGCTGAACCCCATATGTGAGAACAGTATTCTAGAACAGGCCGTATCTGCGCTTTGTATATCATAAGAAGCTGTTGAGGTGTAAAGTAGCTTTTCGCACGGAACAAGAATCCGAGTTTTTGTGAAGCAGCTTTTGCGATGGATCTGACATGATTATCCCATGAAAGAGTGTTGCTGATGGAGATACCGAGCATAGATATGGTGATCTTGGTGGGGATGGTGGAGCCAGACATTACAATATCGGGCATACTGAGTTCCGCCTTTCTAGAGAAAATGCAGGCTTGAGTTTTGGTGGCGTTGAATTCAACTAGGTTGTTTGTTCCCCAGGCTGGGATTTCAGCAAGATCTTCATTGACAGCATTGACCTGACTGCGCCGTGAGTTCTTAGTTTCCTGGGTAGAAATGGGAATTCTGGAAGAGAACGCAGTATGGAGGGTACTATCATCTGCAAAGCTGTGGATGGGGCAAGTTGTTACTACCAACAGATCATTGATATGAAGCAGGAATAATGTTGGTGCCAAAATTGATCCTTGTGGAACGCCGGAATTGATGCCAATGGTATCAGACGATACACCGTCCACCACCACGTGAAGCGATCTGCCTGAAATAAAACTCGATAAGAGATAGCATAGAGTGGTAAGCCGAATGATGGTAGTTTGTGGAGGAGTCCTTCGTGCCAAACACGGTCGAATGCTTTCGATATGTCCAACGCGACAGCTAGAGATTCCCCGTGTTTTTCTATTGAAGTTTGCCATAAATGGGTGACGTAGGCAAGTAGATCTCCAGTAGATCTTCGGTGGCGAAAGCCGTATTGTCTATCATTGATGATTCCTGAGCTCTCCAGATATTTGATGAGCTCAATTAATTGATTCACTGATTAACTCACCTATTTCCTCGCGTGTACAACATGAAATTGATCACCGACGTCCCTCCCACTGCTTTTCCTCTGGCCAAATGGCACCTGCCTCTTTCCAGTCCCAGACAGGCGGTGGTCAGCTGTTCGCTTTCGAAAGCCCAATTGAACCTGGTTCGCGATTGCATCGACGCCATCAGGGGTACGTCGCTGAGGAAGGTCTCTGTTTCGCCGGCTTCTATGAGTAGGACTTTCCAATTTGGGATTTCTGTCAGTCTATTGGCCATCACGCAACCCGCCGAGCCTGAAGACGAGCTGATGGTTTTTATTTATACAGGGTGATTCACATAAGAACCGACATAGAGCAGGGGCATGTAGGGGGTCCCAAAATATGGCAATTTAACGCAACTTATCTCTATACCAAGTTGCTTTCCTAAGGAGTTATAGGCTTTGGAAGTGAAGTTATAAATTTTGAAAAAAATCAATATCTCCGTTATTCTTGAACTTGAAGCAACCAAATTTGGTACACTTTGTATTAGGGCGTTACTTGACAGTAACTAGAGTTTAATTGAAATTTGTAAAGGGGGTATACCGGGTGGCGCACCATTAATATTCAACAGAATTTTGTTAACCCTAGATGGATTTCAAAAATCTTTGCTTTGTTTTGTGGGAAATTCAATTCTAAAACTTTTCTTAGTCTAGTAATCTCTCCAAAAACTTCATCATTTTCATCAAAAACTCGAATAACTGAAAACGCGTGCTCTAGGTGTGTTATTTAAAATCATCGAAAATTCAAAAGTTGGCTATGAAAATAAACGTCAAACTTGACAATGAAGCAAGTAAGTTGTTCAATCAAGTATTTTATCGATAAACAATTGTTTGTTCTGGTTGTTTTTTGTGTTTATTTTGGTTAGTTGTTAATCCCAGTTTTTCACATTTCAGTATCTGTCTTACTTTACGTATTTTGTTACGTATCTAAAAAATAACTTGCCAGACAATTTCTACTGATCACAATTAATGACCTACTTTCTTGTTGCACGTTTATTTTCATAGCCAACTTTTGAATTTTCGATGATTTTAAATAACACACCTAGAGCGCGCGTTTTCAGTTATTCGAGTTTTTGATGAAAATGATGAGGTTTTTCGAAAAACTACTAGACAAAGAAAAGTTTTAGAATTGAATTTCAATTAAGCTCTAATTACTGTCAAGTAACGCCCCAGATACATCCACAAAGTGTACCAACTTTGGTTGCTATAAGTTCAAGAATAACGGAGATATTGAATGCCACGCAGAACATAGAATTACATCCTCCCGAAATCTATGCATCGACTCGTATAAACGAATACTGATACGAATGATTCTTTCCTGAATGCCTATTGATTTCGATTAAGCCAGGCCACGCTAGACACCTACAGACCGGTTTCGAGCTCTGTGACTCTCATCAGTGCAGAGCAGTCTCCAGTCAGCAGTCCTAAGACCGCCGACTTAGCGTAGCCTTGAATAAGATGCCGACTTGATTTTTGTTTGGCTAGCCTAAAATTGCAATACATTAAATTATTTTTTTATGTTCAAAACGGAAGCAGATTCGTTCCCGAAACGTCCAAAGATAAGTGAAAATTTGATATTTTTTCTATATATATCTTTATTTCTCTTCTCCAAACCTTTTTAAATACAAATTGTCACTGACAAGCTGGGGCATTTTTCTTTTAGGCTCTCTGATAGGAAAATTCTTTAAACGCACTGACATTTTGGGGCAAATCATTTGATTTGTCCTCACTTCACGTACCTATATTAAAATAGTATTCATATTTTCATTCTATAGATACGAGGTGAGAAAATCCCAAAAAATCTGGAATAATGAACCCTTTTATTTGCTTCACTTTTATGTATATATGTATGTTTATATGTTTGTATGTATAATGTGAAATAAAATGGCGGCTCCAAAATATGGCGGACGAGTTTTGTAATTATCATCCGATTCTATTCAAAATTTGTATCTGCTGGTTTTCTGGATAAGAGATTATGATTTTTTCGTCAAAATTTCAAAATTCGAGGTGGCGGAAGTATTTTGTAATTATGATCCGATTTTATCCAAAATTGATATCTGGCGGTTTTCGAGGACGGAGATAATGATTCTATCGTCGAATTCGGTGAATTGAATATGGCGGATCCAATATGGCGGCCGAGTTTTGCAATTATGATCCGAATCTATTCAAAATTAGTATCTGCTGGTTTTTGGGATCGGAGATTATGATTCTTGTGTCAAAATTTGGAAATTCAAGATGGCGGATCCAATATGGTGGACGAGTTTTGTAATTATATAATCCGATTCTATTCTAAATTGGTATCTAGGGGTTCACGCGTTTGGAGATAATGAGTCTTTCGTCAAATTTTGTACATTCAAGATGGCGTTGAGTGATTTGATTTGACAAAAATTGAACGTCTCTGATTTTAACACCCTGTAGCTCAAAAACTCTTGACTTCCAGGACTCGCCTATACGGCTTGGCCTGGAATTTTGTCTACCCGTCCAAAAAAACAATATTTTCCGGACTTGTTACGTAACTTACTATTTATTTAAAAAATCAATCGGATCGCTTTGAGCAATGTGGATGGTTTCTACGATTTGATTGATATATCTGTTGATATGATTCATTGATTCACTGATTTGTACTTTACCTGCGCCTACAATAATGAAATCGTACTGTTCCAGAAGAACATCGGTGTCTTCGATTCCACCATCACCAGCTTGAAAAATCCTCAAAAAATTTCTGAAAAAATCCTGCAGCTGGCACTCACAACATACGACGCAAACTGTCAACACTAGAAACGACGCTAAGCGTCTCGACGCCGAAGACGTTGACATTATAATTCGCGATTTTTTTCTGATGGAATTTCTGATCGACTAAGAGGCGGAGCTGATATGATGCCACATGATACTGAGTATAGATTGTGATTGTATGTAAGTCGTTTTTAACTAAATGCTAAATGGATTCACTTATTCGACCTCGCCGAGATCAATGTTTGTGTTGTTTGGTCGAGAAAAATATTGAGAAACTCGTCGACTTTGACTTATTTCGGTGGAACATATAACGAAGAATTCGTAACGAATTATACAGGGTGTCCGCTAAAAGGAGGTCAATCCATTAACCACATAGGTATTCCTTGAACAAAAACAATATGAGTTCCTAAATATCATTTTTCATTTTAGCCCTTCATATTCGGTATACAGGGTGTCAAAGTTGGAAATTAAAAACTGTTTTTTTCTACGTACGGAAAGGTGAATATGGAAATACCGGGTGCTCAGAGCGAATGTACTAAAATAATTTTTACAAAAAAAAAAAAAATTAAAAAGTGTAAAAATTATTTTAATACATTCGCTCTGAGCACCCGGTATTTCCATATTCACCTTTCCGTACGTAATAAGATACGCCCTCTTCCAATTTCGACGAAATAAATAGGAGTATGTGAACATTATGAGATTACCGTAAGCCGCAAGGCATCAAACAATAACCAGTACTTTTCGAATTATCTTAAAAACAAATAATTTTATCGGAATTTTACAAAAATCAAAAAATACTCAAAAATGATTGAACACATGAAGAAAAATAGATAGGAAGTCATTAGCGCACGAACAAAAAAAATATGGGGGTAAGTGTGTACTTGACCCCCAGTATTTTGAATATTTGACAGTTATTTTCTGTTTTGTTTTCCTCACACGATGTAACTCTTTGTGCTGAAGTAATGTACCTATTTTGAGATTAATATCTTATTAATTACGCGAGTAATTAGAAAAAAACAGTTTTTAATTTTCAACTTTGACACCCTGTATATCGAATAAGAAGGGCTAAAATGAAAAATGGTATTTAGAAACTCATATTATTTTTGTTCAAGGAATATATGGTTAATGGATTGACCTCCTTTTAGCGGACACCCTGTATATTCAGCTCGTTATATGGATATCGGTTGGGCAATATAACAGATATCTGACTGTCTATTTTGTCGTTGGACATTTTTCAGTGACCACCAATAATTTTGCTTAGTTCTCGTGCAGAAAAATCGAAATCAGTACTGTTGATTTGATCTAGATTTTACTCACTCCATATACAGGGTGGCCCACGGTCGATGGTACCTTAGACGTATACGGAAAACAGTACATTGGATTATCCTGAAAATTTGGTTACTTCAATAAGCGTTTGTGATCTAACGATTCAAAATATTTTCAGCGAAGCAACCAAAAAGTAGCATCATCTTTGTTTTTTCAAATAGAACACCCTGTATTTTATTGCGTTTTTAGATTCTTCTCGAAGAGTTGATTTCATCAATGCATCACACTTGGGGTCTAGCAGGAATTATTACAGAGATATAGGGTGTTCAAAATCGAGATTTTTCAACTTTAGGATTTTTTTGTGTCGAAACTATTCATCATTGGTCAAAACGGCTTACATGTCCCTATATTAACTTTTGATTAACTATCTACCGACATTGAATTGGAAAAAATACAGGATGGTCCAAGATTCAGAATTTTGATCACCCTGTATCTGTTCCAATTAAATGTCAGTAGATAGTGAATCAAAAGTTGAGATAGCGACATGTAAGCCGTTTTGATCGATAATGAATAGTTTCGACACAAAACATTCCTGAAATTGAAAAATCTCGATTTTGAACACCCTATATCTCTGTAATAATTCCTGCTAGACCCCAAGTGTGATGCATTGATGAAATCAGCTCTTCGAGAAAAATCTAAAAACGCAATGAAATACAGGGTGTTCCATTCGAAATAAGAAAGATGATGCTACTTTTTGGTATAAGTGGCAACGCTGCATCGCTGAAAATATTTTGAATCGTTAGATCACAAACGCTTATTAGAGTAACCAAATTTTCAGGATAATCCAATGTACCGTTTTCCGTACACGTCTAAGGTACCATCGACCGTGGGCCACCCTGTATAAGTATACAGATTATTTCAATCAGAATCTTGTTATATTATCGGAAACAGAACACTGCTCATTAATTGGATATTGATTTTGTTCTAGATTCCACCCTGTGGATCCTGAATCTACAATCAGTGGGGGATGAAATAGATATTCACGAATTTATTTAATTTTTTTATTTTTATGTTCTGGTTCCCACGAAAAGGGATATCCTGTAATGTTCAGAGAACATCGTGAGAACCAAGGGAAATGAGATAGGAATTGGTGTTCTTCTTGAATTTCTGGAGGTTATATTCCTCGGGGAACACCTCCCTTGGCAATGTGTTCCAGAGCCTCGCTGTTCGTTGGATGAACGAGTCTTTGGAAAGAGATGTTTTGCAGGTCTCCAAAGTGACCACGAAGGGGTGCGAAGCCTCAACTCGACGGGTTAATCTCGCGGGGAATGCCAAATGAGGAACAATAGTTGATATTTCAGAAGAGCATCGTCCATGAAAATATCTATAAAATAGAGCTAGATCTCCAACTTTTCTACTGGTTCAATAATCAATGTATGAGATATTCTGAAATTTCATTATTTTCCCAAAAAAAAATCGATATGGGCCTGAGATCATTGAAACTAGAAATGTTGGATTTTTGAGGAAGCCTTCGACTTGATATCAATTAAATACTTGTAGATAGTATCACTATCAATAGTTGAGAATGTGAATGATGACTCCGTATACGGTAGTGAATTATTATAATAGTATGAAAGTGAATCTGCGTCAGCTGGTTTCGTATTTCCAGAGTATAAAAGAAAATTGGAATTTATTTCATTAGGCTTGTTCAATTCGTCAGGTAATTTGTTTGAATCAGATGCTTTATTTTTTAAATTAAAATGTTTCAAGTTTTCCCACGAAAGTTTACTGTTTTTCCCATAGTTCTCAACGCAATATTTGAAATATGCTTTCTTTTCGTTGTTGATAGCAGAATTAGTAAAAATTTTGAGATCCTTGTAGTACTTTTTTTTATCGCTTGGAGCGCACGAAAGGGAATCCCTATAATGTTCAAAGAACATCGTGCGTTCCTAGGGAGGATGAGGACAGGAGGTAGGTATTGGAATTTTTTTTGAACTTTTGAAGGTTATATGTTGTTGGAAATATTTCCACAGGCAATGAATTCCAGAGCCTAGCCGTTCTATGGATGAAGGAATCTTGATAAAGTGCTGTTCGACATCTTTCGAGGTGGACAACGAAAGGATGTGCTGACTGGGCTTGTCTAGTTCGTCTGACTGGTATTGCTAGTGAAGGCATGATAGCAGAGATTTCCGAAGAACATTTTCCGTGGAAGTATCGATAAAAAAGTGAAAGGTCGCCGACCTTTCTACGGTGTTCCAATGATGTCAAAGAGTGAGTGAGTGTGGCGTCACCCACCAGGCGAATGGCTCTTCTCTGGATGGAATCTAAGAGCATCAGCGTATGTTTTGGTGCTGAACCCCATATGTGGGAACAGTATTCCAGAACAGGCCGTATCTGCGCTTTGTAGATCATGCCAATGAATGTTACTTTTGGTTTTTTTATATTTTCTGAAAGCTTTATCACGTAGGGACATCATAAACTTGATATTGTCAGTGAGCCAGGGTGGTCTCTGTTTATTGACTTTACGAATGGTAACTGGAGCTAGGGTATCAAAGATATTCAGTAAAATCTGATTGAAACAGCTGACTTTGTCATTTGCATCATCTAAAATATGAACGTTTTCGAAGGGAGCAATCAACAGAAAATGATCCAGCAGATATTTATCGAAGTATCTCAAGTTTCTGGAGTTTTATTGGAATTACTTTTTATGCGAACATCCAGTGTACAAAAAACCAGCTGGTGATCAGAGCCATTACCAACCTCTCTACAACCATGATTGGTGGGATTTAAGTTATTTGAAATTAGTATAATGTCCATCAGTATTGATAACGTTCTTCTCGACAGTTTCTCTTTATTATAAATCCAAAGTAGTAAATTCGATGAGACAATAAACAAATCGTAGTACTGATTTATGGTGCAGGGCCGTATCCAAGTTCAGGGACGCTACAATTTCTTGGTACAGAACAATCGGCTATCGGGATGCATTCGTTGTTCTCGTCTCTGGCATAGCCATCTTTGCAGTAGCAAGCATCGTTGCATCTCACGTTTTGGATTGGACAGTTGCACTCCAATCGTATGCATCTCGTTTGACAAGCGCTGCCGCATTGATATTCCTCGTTGGGTTTGTCACAGACGATCGGGGCTGAAAAAAGTTCAAACATAATACTATTAATCGAACGTGTTTAGGAGAAACATTGACATTGATATTCAGGGCGAAGTAATATCATACATCGATGATACTGTACTAACTTTCATTGATAAAGACTGGGAACGTGTTGAGAGACGTGCGATAGCAGGAATTAAACACGTCAAAAACTGGTTAGATACTTACAAATTGTCACTTAATGTAGATAATAGTAGATTGTTTTATTAGGATCAAAAGTGACACTTTGTTTGACAAGCGAATTTTGCAAAGCAAAATTTGCGAGTCGAACAAAGTCACTTTTGATCCGAATGAAACATGCTATTTTTTCTGCAACCGAAACAATTAACTCAAATAAACATGTGAAGTAACCACCAATGCCGTGCCATATGTATGCAATGCAACAAATATTGACAAATAATCCATGTGGTGAGAATATTCTACCTGCATAGAGTGACATATTTGTGTATGGACCAGGTGCTCTAATGGCAAATACCGCGCCAGTGCCAGCAATAGGAACAAGACGTGGAAAATGTTAGGTTAGTGAGCATATCAACAATGATAATAGTGATTATTTATTCCTCTCCATACTACACTGTGTTTAACTTGATAATCAAATAAAGGTAAACAATATCGCTGTTTGAGACAAAAAACTATTGCTTGCCGTGATTATTCAAAAACAAGTTATCCATCCCGAGAATAACGAATGGAATACAGATCAAGCAAGTATTTGAATCTTGAAGGCTTCCCTGATCAAAACAAAAATACTTAACTGGGATGTTTATAATTCCAATACTAAACTATAATAAGGTGTATTTATATCTCCAGCATGGTTATGAAATGCCAAATCTGCTGAAATCGGAAACAAATCAGGTATGCGTCTCAACCCATATAACCAACCGTCACAATGTTGTTTATTCTTGATGACGTCCGGTACATCCTTTTTAGTTCCTAGGACCTAAAGTTCAGTTTTAGCTCCTAGGAACTAAAATTCAACTTTAGCTCCTAGGAACTAAATATGTTGCCTAGCAACATACCTATTTTTCTGTCAGTAATAGAAACGTCAATTTAAGAGCTGATTGTGTCGGTTGCAGAAAAAAAACTATATTGCCTTCTCTAAAACATCCGCAGATCGTCCTCATTTCCAAGAAATTATGTGTGATAATCTAACCTCTGCAATACAAGAGACTAAAACTACCAAATACTCTGGCATCATTATTGACCAGAACTTAAAATGGGACTATCATGTAATGTATATATCACAAAAACTCAGATTCTTGATCTATAAATTCTTCCTCCTTGAGCAGTTTCTCAGTATAAACCTGCTTATAACATTATATTACAGTTTAGTAGAATCTATTCTATGTTATGGAATCTTAGTATTGGGTGGCAGCACTAAAGGCCCTTAAATATTATTCAAAATGAAATATTGAACATTATTTATGAAAGAGACAGGTTGTATCCAACTAATTTTTTTTATATAATGAGGAAATTTCAAATAATAGATGTTTATTCATTTATACAGTATGTTGCCACCTGTAAAATCATGAATCCCTAAAAATTCGTATCGATCATAGTCATGACACTAGAGCTGTATCGAAAATGCATATTGGAGTTGATAAGCCGAACAGTGAGTTTTTCAAAAATTGTGGAACTATTTAGGACCCAAATGTTACAGTACTCTACCTTCAGATATGAAATCATTGCAAAAATATAGATTCAAAAAGATCTGCAAAATACATATTTTCCGAAATTATTCGAAATTGTATGATACTATTTTCTCAGGATGATGTATATACTTTTAGTTTCTTCGTATACTTTAGATCATATTGTCATATAATCATATGAACATTCACATCAATCTTTCTCACTAAAATATTCATGTACATTGCGAACATTTCCTTTCAAGACACATACTGTTGTGTTTTCAGCTAGGTGTCATTATTCTAATATACAGGGTGATTCAAAAGTAAGCGGCATCCTTTCAGAGGCGTATTCCTTGCATGAAAATAAGGCAAAAAGTTCCTATTGATAAGGATCCGAAAATGCTTCCTAAGGGAGCTACGGCCCTTTGAATAGGACACCTCAAAGACGGTTTTTTCTCTATAACTTTAAAATCCTTCACAACAAATTTTTAAAAATTGGTGTACGGCATAAACATTCGATGGTAAATAGGACTCCGTATTCGAAATAATTTCCAAACGAAATCACAGTAACCTGAATATCCGGAGAAGAAGGGATATTTTTACACTTACCCTCTCCCGCATGTGACGCCCCTGAATGAAATTCTGAAATTTCGAATACGGAGTCCTATTTACCATCGAATGTTTATGCCGTACACCAATTTTTAAAAATTTGTTGTGAAGGATTTTAAAGTTATAGAGAAAAAACCGTCTTTGAGGTGTCCTATTCAAAGGGCCGTAGCTCCCTTAGGAAGCATTTTCGGATCCTTATCAATAGGAACTTTTTGCCTTATTTTCAAGCAAGGAATACGCCTCTGAAAGGATGCCGCTTACTTTTGAATCACCCTGTATGTATATATAAAAATGAAAATCATATTGTAAATATCTGGAACTCTCTTCATTCCTATCAAAATCAAATATCACTATTTGTTTCTTTTTGTCTATAGATGATCTTACCTCTGAATAATTTGTAGAATGTGAGAAAACTTATCAGTATATACCTGCTGTTATAGAGAACTATCAATAAAATTTATATTATTTTAGACAAAAAAATGAAATCGAATGAAATGAAATCAGAGAGTAGACAGAAACTAGAGAAACGAGACTTAGGAAAATCTAGAAACTAGTAAGATGACGAAAAACACTAGAGAGGGCTAAAGATTATCAACTAGAGTCTAGAGACGACTGAAGATTATAAACTAGTAACTGGGTTTTGAAGCCTACAGACTATAAGAAGACCAAATACTAGATCCTAGAGTCTCAGATATAATAGGATCTAAGGGAAAGAGACTGAGTCTAAAGTCTATAGAAAAAAGACTTAAGAATTGAAGTACTTGAAAAAATAGACTACAGAGACCAAAGACTGAATACCTACTAAAGAGCTTGACATTGAAGACTAGAGATTAGAGACTGAAGACTTGAGAAGAAATGAGAACCTAGAGACTAAGGACTGATAGAGACTCCATAGCAACTAGAGACTCAAGTTTCGTGAAAATATCAGCGTATCACTCTTGATGAGTTTTTAATTCACCATAACTAAGTATTTATTGGGAATGTGCATTTTTCATTTCGTTTATATATTCTTAGAAACCATAAAATATATTGATGAACGCACAGTATAAGGACGAGTTCATGACAAACGAGTTTTTAGAAGATGAACTGGAGAGGTGTATATACCAGCATAATAAACCTAATAACAATATGATCGAGGTATGTTTTATTTTTCCTCATTATCTTCAAATAATGGAAATTTGATCGTTAACTTACGAGTTTTATTCCATTGACTTCTAGTTGAACCAGCAAGAACAAGAAGGACGAATAATAACGAAACACTCAGAGCCCACTTCATTATTAATATTTGTGTTAAAAACGAGGATTCTTTTCTCTTGAATGAATGTGAATTTCAAATCTCAATTCTCAATGGGCTGTGAACAGGGCCGATCCTAGCGGGTGTGCAGCGCGTGCCCCGCACGCGGGCGGCCAAAACAAGGGGCGGCCGCAGGCCGCATATTGTCCTATCAAACAAAATTATTTGAAACTCATAAATCGAATGAATATGCTGCATTTTGAATAAATAAAATGATAGTAAATAGTGTGTTGGTCCATTGTCAATTAATGTCTACTTTTTATACACATTCTTATCTTCCCAAATTTTAAATTTCTATTTGAAACAATAACCAAGGGGCATATTTTTCAGACGCCTAAGGATGTTTTGTTCCATCACTGTGCGGTAGCTTATTTATGCATTTCTACTACTTACTAAGAGACTATGAGAGAAAATCCCAAAAAATCTGGAGAACATTCACTTGCTCTTCTTATTGTTCTTATTTTCAGATTCCAGATCATTTTATATCAATTACAATAAACTGTAATATACTAATGTGATGAATTTGAATCCCAAAAAAAATTTCGCCTGCGGCGCATTTTTTGCATTTTTTGGCCGCTCCCGATAAGCACTGAAATGGAGTTATTACCTGAAAGCATTTGACCTTGAACTCAGAAAAAATTCGCCTGCGGCGCATGAAGATTTTGTCTACATTTTTTTTCTGTGTTTTACTTCTTATCCTTGTACAAGAAGTTGAAGTTATGAAGTCATCAGGTATCATAGTTAAAAAATATGAAAAATGCTTTATAGAGGCGGCACTTTATGTTTTTGCACGCGGTTGGGCGATACCCTAGGATCGGCCCTGGCTGTGAAGGATGATCGTGAATAATTTCATAGTCATCATTAATACATTATATTATCTACAGTTCGGTATGGAATAACCCAAACACAGTCAGCATTTGAGCATTGAATACTAATTTAAGTTTTTCTACTCACTAGTCCTCACATAAGTAAAGATGAGGCATATTAACTACAGATCCACAAACTATGATTAATTCAAAATTTTAAACACAGTTCTTAGGCAATCTATTTTTTTAAACACATTACTGTAGGTTACTTTATAGTTTACTCTTTGATTTCAATGGTCAAATAAGTCATGCAAAATCCCCTGAAAAACTAGACATTGCGACTGTCAATTTTGACATGAACGAGATGATAGTGATCAATTTTCTAAATAGGTCTGTAGAAAAAGTATGGTATGTAACGCGTGTATAAACTCCTCTATAGCCCCTGGTTATTTATTGAATACAAAATACTATAGTCACTGAAATGAAATTTATAGATAGATAGATAGATAGATAAGCTTTATTGTCTAAAATGAACACATTATGTCGAAAAAGTCAATATCAATTGAATAAAAGAGGAATATATGAAAATAACATGGAACAAAAATATATATAAAATAACATAGAACAAGTATCTTCATTATTACAAAGAACATGTCTCTCTAAAATCAATAATATGAATCAAATCATTGATTATAGCTATATAATCTGGTAAGTGATTGTAAATCTTTTAACTCCTATAAATCGAGGATTGTCTCGTTAAAGATGAATTAGGCAGAGGAAGAGCAAGGTTTCTTTTATTACGCGGATTCTTGTCTAGGTTTGTGTTCATGAAATTTCCTTCATATTTGTGAAGCAGACACACTGTTTCTAAAACAAAAATTTCAAAGACCGTCAATATCTTATTATTGCGAAACATTGGCCTTATAAATCAAGAAGAGAATTGGGCCAAGAAGTGACCCCTGAGGGACCCCCCGTAAAACATTACCTTTATCGGAAGTCTTTTTTGACAATGATACTCTTTGATTCCTGTCAGTGAGATAAGATCTGAACCAGTCTAGGTCAGTAGGTACCACGAAAACCGGAATGACAAGGCTTTTGCAACAGAATTTCATGACTTACACAGTCAAAAGCCTTAGAAAGGTCAAGAAACACTGCTGCTGCAGCCTCTTTTTCATTCAAGCTCAAGTATACTTTTTCGAGAAAATTGAAAATACTTAGCATCATTGGTGTTTTTTTTTTATTTTGAAATCAAAACTGTTCTTGCGCTATTATATTATGTTGGTCTAGGAAGCCAAGCATTCTTCGTTTCACCAATTTTTCAATAATTTTGAAAAGTATTACCTATAATTATCACTATTATTTATATCTTATCAATATGGGAAACTCACGTTTTGTGGTTGATTTTGATGGGTGACAATGTGTTCTTGGTTTATGGGTCTCATTTTCTTTGCTATTTGCCGAACCCCCTGTATATCCTGCGTGGATGAAAAAAATCACAAAACCAATTATTATGAACACCTTCATGATATATGTCTAGTAATTACGAGTGAATTACTGAGTTCATTTATAAATGTGTAGACGTAAATAAGTAGGTACATATTTATACCTCCCATTATTGTTGTTTGCGATAAAAAAATAATCTACTTGATTCCCACTTTGTGTAACTTACTCAGCAAAAGAAATATTTACAGTAGCGTAGATTAAAAAAACAAGAAAAATATTGTGGTTTATTCGAAAGGTGCAAGAACTATTGAATAGAAAATCGAAAGTATCATATGGTTGATTTATCATCACGAAATAAATTTTAGATGTACCGGGTGTACCACAAAGAAAGGACGCCGGCTGTATCTCGGAAACTATTTGCCGCACAGGTTTCGGAAAAAAATAATCATGATAAAAGTGGCCAAGAGAAATCTCTGGAAATTATTTTCAAGTTTCCAGGACAGCCCCTAGAGGGCGTAATTCATTGTAATTAGATCTATGGTAAAACAATGAATGTATTGCCTATATGACGACAATGCTTTCTGATGAATCCAAATAGTGAGAAAAACGCATTGACATTCCATTCCAATTTGCATAGGTATAAATATAAACAAGATAAAATAGGAAGTATGCATGTCTTATCATTGATTTACAGTTTAATCACAACTATTTATGTATACATGAATGAATTAGTGATTGGCAGATAAGGAAGTTGGTATCTACCAATATGCACCTACTCAATGCATGAGTCAGATAATAATATACTGAAGTTTACTGTTTTGGTATCTATACCTACTGATATTATAAAGAGGCAAGATTTGATTGTTTGTTTGTTTTTTTGTATCTATTGAATATAGGCTCCGAAACTATACTGGATCGTTTTGTTGGGCTGAAAATTGGTGGGGAGGTAGCTTAGAGCCAGAATAAGGTTATAGGATACTTTGTTTCCCGGTACCATTAGGAAATTCAAGATGGCGGATCTAATATATCAAACGAATTTTGTAGAAATGGTCCGATTTTATTCAAAATTGATATCTGGGGGTTTTCGGAGTCGGAGATTATGATTCTTTTGTCAGAATTTGAAAATTCCGGCGGAATTTGGAAATTGAAGATGGCGGAACCAATATGGCACACGAGTTTTGTAATTATAATCCGATTCTTTTCATTATTGGTACCTAGGGGTTTTCGTGATCGGGGATTATGATTCCTTCGTCAAAATTAAGAAATTCAAGATGGCATATCCAAAATGGCGGATTTTGTAATGTCTCGCTGTTCGTTGGATGAACGAGTCTTTGGAAAGAGATGTTCTGCAGGTCTCCAAAGTGATCACGAAGGGGTGCGAAGCCTCAACTCGACGGGTTAATCTGGCAGGGACTGCCATCAAGGGAGGGACAATTGTTGATATTTCAGAAGAGCATCGTCCATGAAAATATCCATAAAATAGAGCCAGATCGCCAACTTTTCTACGGTGTTCCAGAGAAGTGAGTGAGTTTGTGAGCGAAGTATCACCCACGAGACGAATTGCCCGTTTTTGGGTAGAATCCAACAATTTCAGGGTATGTTTGGGTGCTGATGCACTCCAAATGTGGGAACAGTATTCCAGGACAGGCCAGATCTGTGCCTTATAGATCATAAGTAGCTGACTGGAAGTGAAATAGCCACTGGCCCGAAACAGAAAACCAAGTTTTTGGGATGCACTATTAGCAATTGATCGCACGTGATTTTCCCACGAAAGGTTATTTCTGATAGTAATACCAAGCATCGAAATGGATGTCTTCAAAGGTATGGTTACTACTTTTAGTAAAAAAATACCATTCCCTATAAAAGTACTTTTATACATGTTGACGAATGGATCTTTTTATTTTATAAATTCATAATTTTTGTCGCTCTGTTTTTTTTTCTTGAAACTAAATTATCTATTTCATTTAAAACATACAATAAGTATAAACTTGATGCCTGAACAAAGCGATTAAAGCAAATAAATTCAACACATTGAATACATTCGATGGGATTAATTTTGATGGAAAGTTTTATGTTTGCTTTCACTATAAAATGAAGAGCAAGGGTCATCAAATCCCAACTGCTTTCCGTATTCGGGGATCACAAACTTTTCACATCGTTTCCAACTTTCGATACAGTTCCTAATGACGCTCTGTGTTTGCAATCTATCCCTAGGGGTGATTTACAAGACTCCAACCCAACCCTCCAAAAGGACACTTTCCCTGCTACCACCCAAAGTGACCTAAATGCAAATCGTATAGGAATACTCTTCACTAAATAAAAATCATTGGTACAATTGAGGCGTCTATAGAAGCAAAAGTCGTCTTATCCATCTTGAGCAAATTCGAGAAAAATGGGAAAAACGTATACGGGGTTTATTATTTCGGAACTATATTCACCATAGAATTCAAACATATGTATTAGGTTCCACGTAATGATTCACTATAGTTCAAATAAATGTAAATCTCTTTGACTTTCAGAAAACCATATTTTAATTTGAATAAGACAAGTTTTGCACTGACATAATGGATTTAGCAAGTTTTGATACGACAATGACAGGATAAGACCAGTTTTGCAAAAACAATATCTATCCTCATCCTCATTCATCATAAAATTGAATAAAGAATAATTCAAATTCTCAAATACTGTCTGTAAATTAATCGAAAATCAATGAAGGATTCTTTAGAAATGATGATTGTATATTTTGAGAGCTGTTATATGATTGGACCTTTTCTAATCTGTGCGAAGAGAGAGATTATCGTGAGTAAAGCATTATCGTGAGTGGACGTTTTTTGTTTTGAACGACAGGTTATTTTCTTCTGAACATAAGCATGTAAACTGTATACGTATAAGAACCTCTTTTTCATGAATCCGGGTGTAGCAATCATAGCGTGTATTTATCATGAAATTTGTAATCCCCTGTGGAGTTTAACAGTTACGTTATCAAGTCGGAAAAATGATGTTTCTCGAGTAATATTAAAGATAATATGGAGTGAGTCCAACGAAGAAATGTTGAAAAAAGATAAGGCTCAAGTGTGATTTCAATTCTAACTCGATAGTGTAACTCTTATTTCAAGATTTTATCTGTCGAGCAGTGTATACGGTGTATAACGTGTTGCATAACGTTCAACTGCAGTATAGATTTCTGCCTCGAAACCATGCCTGTGATCGGGTAGTACTTGTAACGACCGCTAGAGGGACATACCACCTACTTTCTTTGAGTGACATTTCTTTTCTTCTGACACATTTGACAGTGCTAATCCATTGATCCTGCCTCTGCTTGTTTCGTTTTCATTACATCACTTTTGTGTTTGTGTTTAGATTATAAGTTTTATACGTTCGTGAGGAATCAGTAATCATTATAGAAAGTGTAGATTACGTTTTATTTTTTAAGGCAGCAAACACTCTAGTCATTCCTTATCTAGCGACGGTGATGTGATAAGTAGTTTTTAGTGTAGTTGCACATTGCACATAGGAAAAAAAACTGGCCGTGCCAATGTCAATTAAGGTGTCCGACCCGATAATCCGGTATGTTCGTCATCGATTTATCTAAATTCCAGTGAATTTCGGGCACATTCCATCGTCCTGCTCGCGATAATGAGTGTGGTAACAGTCGGTGATAATATTCCACAGTGGAAAAAGGACCTGATAGCGCGACTCAAGCACCAAAATAAAAAGGTGGCTGCGATCGTGCTGAACGGTGATGAGCATCAACAACAGTATTCGAATTCGACCGTTCAACAACCCAAGCCGAAGAGCGAGCCAGCGCCAGTTGGATCTAGTGCTCCGAGACAAACAGTCGCGAAACGGGGTCATGTGAATAATAATTGTACGGGCTGGTCAAGCGAGCAACGAGCCGAAATAATGGTCCAGCAAGACCACCGAAATCACGAACATTTGGTGGACATGGTGAGCAACGGGTATGTGAAAGACCACGGTGGTGATTCGGACTCGGAAGATTTGCATTACGGGCCGGGTATAGTGAAAAAGCTGAAAAACAAGTATCTGAGCTTGGCGTTGAGGGAGGCTGTGACTAGGCCTAGTATCCTACAATTGCGTAAAGCTACTTCTTTGGAGAATCTGCTGGACGAGGATACTAGACAGGGGAACAATAAACTTTTTCAGTCCAAGTTGAACGGCAATGATACCAGGTAAGTACCTAATTACTCGCCTAATTAATGATTATAATTTTGAGTTGCATCCTTTTGATTGTCTGTATAAATGAACATGTTGCCCTAGCCAGTTCCACAGTCCAATACTGTACTATTAGGTATACCTACTTACCTGTATGAACTGTTATGCCTTTAAATCTCAGGGGGTGAGTAGTAAGAAAAATGGAATAGAATTTTATTTACCCCTGAGTTTGGTTGATGAATTACCTAAGATTTATTAGGTGTTTTAAATCTTAAATGTATTGACAACAGAAAAAGTGTTTTTAGTGCCCAGTTTGATACCGTAGAAAACTAGACACTGGTAGTTCAGCGGGACAAATGGGTGGGTACGTTAGGCTTAGTAAAATACTAAGTTTGATAGGGATGAATATGCTTTTAATCACAAATAAATTCTGAAATGACAAATAATGTGACAAAAGATACTATAGTTGGCTCAAAGACTTCCAAAGTAACTGAGTATCAATAGCAATAATGCCTGAACAGTGTACAATTATTGCAACAACAAGAAATATAAATTGACTGACTGAAATCAACTCTTCAGATCAGTGTAAAATAGTACAATCACTGCTCAAAATCAACTCTCTGAGACAGTATGATAATATATAGCTTATTAATCAACAAAATAACTCAGTAAATCAGTATCAATGAGACAAAAGAAATAATAAGGCCTATTTTACCGCGGTGCACTTTTGGTTTACAGGGGTATATTTTATAGCTATACTGAGTGTCTGTTAAATCAAAGTCATGTATTATATGATGTTGAATGAAATTTAAAACTGATGAATTATGATTGGTGGTAGTTTATCCCAAGTAAAATACTATCCTTGGTGGTGCATGGAACGAACTCACCAAATTATGAGCAGGTCCTGATGTGTATCATCTGGCTCTGATGTACAGGGGGATCAGGTGAAGTCGGGCAGCGTTGTCAGGTGGTGTCTCCTGTGTGTCGCCCTTCAGCCACAAATGAGCAGGCCCCAAAAACGCGAATTGACGCAGCGAAGCGTTGACTGACGACGACTATAAGACAGTCCCAGGTCCGAGCTGATGGGGCGCAAAACTTGAGTGCGACAGTCGGGAGAGGAGGCTTTGGCCCGATAAAAGGAACCCTATGTGGAATGACGACAATCGTGCGTTATTTTTACCAACACAAGGAATGACAAGAAAATAGCAGCTGATGATTAAAAGAATATATAGTACCTTGGATGTTGTGTGGGTTCCAGAAGTGGTGATGTGGGTCGGCTCGGCCACGTGGATTTCAGCCACGAAGAATCCCTCTATAGAGGCAACAGGAATCCCATCATCCCAGCGATGATAATGGATATCCCAAATTTGAGATCTTTTCCTAATTAATCCCAACACTAAGTAATGGAAAATCGAATATTAGGCAAATTCGAAATTATTCAAGAAACAGATCTCACGGCTTACTTTTGTGACCAGGCTGGTAGACTGCTGCAGACAAAATGGTGCCTATGAAGATCGAAGGGGCTGTCCTTGCCACATCTCACCGGAAGATCACCCTTTTTTGTGTATCTTCCCCTATATACTCCCACACACATCAATCACCGGACGATATAAAATTATAGGCGGGAGATATCCCCGCGAACACCCTGTACATGGCATTTCTACCTCACCATGGTAGTGAAAACTATGTCGATAATATCAAGAGAGGTGTCGAGACCATCAGAAAAGAAGGAATATCATTAAATCACCATTTATTTCAAGTCAGAATATATTATTGCCAGTTATTATTGTTTGGATTTGAAACTTCAAATATTCAAACGCGGTCATGCGCAACTGAGGATCATTGTAAACCTGAATAGTGGGGCGCAATACGTCATCACCTTCTTCCCGTGCGATGACCCTTTATCACCATGTAACATAACCCATAACGCCCATACTTACAAGGAATTAGTGCCAAATCAACAAACAGGTACATAATGGCGAAGATACAGAGTGCCAAATCATCATAACGAGATATGTGCTGATTGTGAGCCGTTAGAGCCCGTATTCGTGATGATAGCAAGGGAACTATGGGTCAATGTCCCATGATGACAATGTTGAAAATTCGAGAAGATGCATGCAGAGGTTCGCAAATAGTGGTCATCCGTCATTAGTGTCATTACCGTCAATAGAGACTAAACGTCATCAAGCTGACAGTGACATTTTCAATAATTACAATAATTACATAACAATGATATTTATTTTTAAATATAACGGCAACAATAATTACAAGAATGATACTCGAAATTCAAGATGAAATTTGGCGAAATACCTGTGGACTGAATCGGTCATGTGTGACAATTCCAGGAACCAACTACCTACCTACCAAAATTTGTAAACAAAACATTCTGACCAAGAGGTATGCAATAACGATAACTAGTAGGCTAAAAATCACAATATAATTCCTTATTTACAGCAAAAATTGAGTTAGAATCAATAACAACGAACAGAGAAATACCAATCGATAGCCAGTAGTAAACATCACAGATGAATTCAATTATGAAACCAATGAAAAAGAGAGTGAAAAGTAGGTAAACAATAATGCATAGCTCTGTTTTCTGCAGTCTTTTCGTAACGTCATGAACGAAGTGTAACACTCCCCCTCTACCCCGAAGAGATTTACCTGTAAATCTCAAATAAAACGAAAATACTGTCTGCTATGATATGGGTTCATATTGAATTCAGGAATGACCGTCCTCATCATCAGATGGCTGATCAGGTGGATGAGACTTGATGTCCTGAACGTGCCAAGTGCCTTTCGACTTGTTAGAGCTGTCTTCAAGTTCATAGGTGACTGGAGAAAGCTTCCTTTTGATCACAAAAGGTCCATTGAAGTTTGGTGCAAACTTTGCTGTGAAGTGGTTCGTGGCATCCGACAGTGCGTGATTTTTCACATAAACTGATTCACCAACTGCAAAACTAACGGGCCTACGCCTGAGATTGTATCGAACTTTAGACTTTGAGTGTGCAGTGTCCAGACGTTTTCGGACATCATCATAGATATTTTTAAATTCCTCCACAGCTCTTCTTGAGGTAGGCACGCTATCTGCTTCAACCAGAGGATGATCATAATCATTGCCACTAGACTTATGCTCACGTCCAAAATTGATAAAGAAAGGTGTTAACCTAGTAGCCTCATGAACGGAAGTTCTGATAGCACAGCCAACCTTTGGTAATAACTCAGCCCATGTTCTGTGATTTTCCTCCACATAGCATGACAGCATAGACTTTAAAACTCGATTCACCCTCTCAACTGGATTCGCTTGTGGATGGTACAATGGTGTAAATCTGATGTGGACATGATAATCCTGGCACAACTTTTTGAAGAGATTAGATTGAAATTGTACCCCATTATCACAAATCAGAATTTGTGGACAACTAAACATCAAAAAGATATGTTCCTCAGTTATTCGAGTCACTGCTGCAGCTGTAGCCAATCTCAGAGGGAAAAATAAGGAAAATTTACTAAAAGTATCAGTAACCACATAGATGAACTTGTAACCTTCTTTTGTGCGAGGCAACGGTCCAACAAGATCTACAGAGATCATCTGCCAAGGAACAGTTGGCTCTGGGTGTTTTCCAAGCAAACCAGCTGGACGTTTCAATTCTGGCTTATGACGTATACAAGTCTGGCACCTCTTTACATAAGCAGCAACATCCGCTCGCATTTTAGGCCAAAAGTACCGTTGTTCCAACCTCTTATATGTCTTGAAAACGCCAGCATGACAAGCTACCAAGTTGTCATGGTTGTCACTGATAACTTTTTTCCGGCCTTCCTTTGGTATCACCTCCTTCCAATAATCCGCCGTGTCTCTCAGACCAGGATACGAACAGGAAACATATTTATATAGTTTTCCATTGATAAAACGCCATTGTGGATAGTTTAATGGGCTATCTGAAACATGCTGAACCATTCGGAGATACCAGGGATCTGAAGATGGACTAGTAACATCAGAGACGTTGACAACACTGATTTCTGGTACAGCTCGCGACAATGCATCAGCTACCACGTTATCACGACCTTTACGATGGTAAATCTTGAAATTAAACTGTTGAAGGCGCAACAACCAACGTGCTATTCGACCCTTAGGTTCTCTTAGATTATGGAGCCATACTAAACTGTGATGATCAGTGATGACCGAGAATTCGTACCCCTCAAGATATGGTCGCAACTTCTCCACCGAAAACAGTACAGCCAGACATTCTCGCTCTACAGTGCTGTAATTCCGTTCCTGGCGAGTTAGTGATCGACTGACATAGCATATAACATGCTCTCCATCGTCAAAATTTTGCGACAGAACACCGCCTATACCGTATGCAGATGCATCAGTCTGGACTTGAAAAGGTCGACTAAAATCAGGACAGGTTAGTACCGGAGCTGAAGCCAATGCGTTTTTGATGCCTTGGAACGAAATTTGACAGTCATCTGACCAACACCACTTCTTTTTCTTAGAAAGAAGCGCAGTCATGGGAGCAACTAAGGTGGAAAAATTTGGTATGAACCTCCTATACCACGATGCAACACCCAGTACTCGACGAACCTCAGTGACATTTTTAGGGGGTGGGATGTTCAAAATTGACGAGACTTTTTCAGGATCGACATGGAGACCTTGACTATCTACAACATAACCTAAGTAACGTAGCTCAGGGCGACAAAAGAAACATTTCGATTCTGCGACAGTTAGTCCGGCCTTTTTGAAACGCTCAAATACCTCCTTCAGAGTTTTCAAGTGGTCTTCAAATGAAGATGAAACAATTATCACATCATCTAAATAATAAAAAACATTTGGTTCTAATTCTGGACCCAAAACTTTGTCAATTAGACGTTCAAATGTGGCTGGCGCATTACACAGACCGAATGGCATTCTTTTAAAATGATAAAGTCCGCGACCTGGTATAGTGAAAGCTGTATAGTCCCTAGACTCGGGTGCAATCAATACTTGCCAGTAGGCAGATTTAATGTCCACAGAACTTAAATATTTT